ACGGGGTCTCACTATGTAGTTGAGACTGACCTGGAACTCACTATGTAGCCCAGGCTGGTCTCAAACTCAAAGCGATCCTCCTGCCTCAGCCTCCCGAGCACTGGGATTACAGGTGTGTGCCACCACACCCTGCCTTTCATGATTTTAAATGGTAAGGTATACTATATAAATAAAGTATTCACTGTTTTTTCTGATTTTTGATGCTAGTGCTTTGTTAGGTAAGCACTCTGCCTTTTGCACTCTGCCATTATGCCTCCTATGTCAGTGTTTTGGTTGAGTTAGGGTCACTATGTAGCCCCTGATGGCCTCAGACTCATTATGTAACTCTGACTGGTCTCTAACATTTTTGTTGTTGTTCTTTTTTTTTTGGTGGGGGGGGACCGGGAATCTAACTTGGGTCTTTGCATTTGCGAGGCAGGCAGTGAACTACTGAGCTAAATCCCCAACCCTTTTCTTTTCTTTTGTTTTTTTGATACTGAGGATCCAACTAAAGACCTTGAGCTTATGAGACAGGTGGTGGGCTACTGAGCAAAAAAATCCCCAGCCCCGTTTTTGTTTTTTTTTGGTACTGGGGATCGAATTCAGGAACTTGTGCTTGTGAGGCAGATGGTCCCACCACTGAGCTAAAACTGGGCCCTGTTTTTGTTCTTTTGAGACATGGTCTCTTTATGTAGTTGAACTGTGCAGCCCAGGCCGGCAATGCTCCGGTCTCAGTCTCCTGAATACTTGGATTATAGGTCACCATATCTGGCTATAAATTCATTTTAAGGAAAATAGGATGTAAAATATGCTTCTTTTACCTGTTATCCCAGCTTTTCAGGAGGCTGAGGAAGGATAGAAAGGTCTAGTCTAGGCTGGGTAACTTAGTGATTTAGGGAGACTGTCTCAACATAAAAAATAAAGGCTAGGGAGGTAGCTGAGTGCAGAGGTCCTATCCTAGGTTCAATCTCTAGTACCGGAAATATAAACTTTCTTGTATAAATTAAAAATTAATTTAGCTGGGCACGGTGGTGCACGCCTGTAATCCCAGCACTTGGGAGGCAGTCTGAACTACATAGTGAGACCCTGTCTCAAAAAACCAAAAAGAAAAAAAAAATTAATTTTAAACATGGAAGTATCAGAGCTAATCATGGTTGTGCAGATCTGTAATCCAAGCACTGGGCAGGAGGATTGAGTCTGAAGCCAGTCTGTATTGCGTGGTGAGTTCAAGAGCATCTGTGGAATACATAGTGAGACTGCCTCAAAAAACAAGACAAAAAAAGAAATGTCAAGAATGTAGTACAGTGGTGGAGGCCATGCCTAGGATGATTGAGGCCCTGGGTTCAATCCCCAGTACTGAGGTAGGAAAGAAATATTACTATGAAATATCTGTCAACCTTTTAAGATAAATCCTGAAATGAGTGGAAAGTTAAGACAAAGCTTCTTCTTTTTTTTTTTTTTTTGAGACAGGGTCTCACTATGTAGTTGAGGCTGACCTGGAACTCACTATGTAGCCCAGTGTATTATCGAACTCAGTGGTCCTCCTGCCTCAGCCTCCTGAGTGCTAGGATTACAGGCATGCGCCACCATGCCCAGCCTTAAAGCTTCTTTTTTTTTGTTGTTGTTGTTGTTTTGGGATAAGGTCTTGCTCTGTAGTCTAGGTGGGTCTGGAACTTGTTACATAGGTCAAAGCCTCAAACTCAAACTTTGTTTTTTGCTGGCACTGAACATCCTCCTTCCTTGTTTCAGCCTCCCAAGTGCTGGGATTACAGGCATGCGGCACTACACCAGGCTAAAATCCTCTTGCTTTCAGCCTTCTGAACCTGAGATTATCTGGTTTAGAAAGTTTCTTAACATTTACACTTCCTCAAAGTAACTGTTTTAATAGTGCTGTAATTTTTTTTTTTCAGTACTGAGACCTGACCCCAGGGCCTCATGCAGACAATGGAAGGAAATGGAAGATTGGCTCTTAAAGGTTACTTTATTTGCCCAAAGTCAGACAGTACTGGAGCATTTATAACCAAGGTGTCATTTCTAATCCTGTTTATGCTCCAACATTAAGCTCTTGACAGATTTCCTAGGACTTTTGTTTGAAGACAGTAATAATCTTGCAAACATTTTTCTATGGGAGGAAAATAACTCATATAAATCAGTGACCTCTCTGCTTCCCTTTCTCACAGTACTAACAAAAAAAAACCAAATGACAAATTATGCATTGGATTATTCTGTTTTAAGGGGTTAGGAAACAAATTTAGAGCAAAGGGGGTTATTTTTGAGGAAACCATACCAACCTTGACAAGAGGCCAGACTAAATTCAGGGGTTACAAAACTAAACTACTTCCGAGAGAAGCAAAGTTTTATTTTTTCTTCACCTTTATGCTTTTCTTCACTGTTTCAAAGCTCGACAGTCACGGCCTTACCAAGTCCACTGACACTAAATAGCAGGGTAATACATTTTATTGCATTCCCCAGTCCCTGACTCCTGTATGCTCTTCCCTTTGTCTTCACCCCTCGATGGATGATCTGAAAATGACCGTTTTATCCTACCGCCATAAGGACTAGATTGCCTTATGGCGACCTTGACAGCCACCTGGGTAGGAAGCCGGAAGGGGGGGGCGGTCGGCTGTGGGGGGGAAACTCTTCAAATGGCTGCGAGGAGGCACCATGAACCGAAGAAGAACGCAGAGCTCCAATCAGATAGGAGCTCCCTGAAAGATTGACAGATACGCCACCAACGGTCTTTGCCCTGAAAAGGGGCTGGCTCTCGCGAGATTTGGATATATCTGGAAGGCGCCTCTCCAAATGGGGGATGGGAATATCTATGGCGCAATCATTGCGCGAGATTAGGCCTTCGTCACGGGGGGTGGTGGTGGCAAGCATGGCTAGATCTCGCGATATTTGGTGTTTGGGCTAGAACTCGAGGGCCTGTTCTCGCGAGAGTCCGTGCTGAGGGCTCTAGGAAACCCCGTGTGTTTGTGTGTGTCTGTGTGTTGGTGACTGTGAGTACGAGGAAGCAGCGGCCGCCATTTCAGGGAGCTTGCTGACGCTGTCGCAGGGGAGGATCCTCAGCAGCCGAAGCTTCCATCCTGCTTTTCCGCGCGGGCTCCTCTAATTCCATTGTTTCTTCTAGATTTTCTCGGGCCTATCCGCTCACGGAGCCCGATAATCGGGCTGGGCGGTACCGCGGTCTGGGCCTAGGGCTTAAAATTATCAAGAGCGGTAGCCGACTTTACGAATACGAGCACTACAGGCGCCCGAAAGCCCGCACAGGTAAGGTGCCGTCGCGTTCCTGTGTTACTGTAGCATTTTTGGAGGATTGGTGTTCTCTGTCCTGAGGAACGCTGTTTTTAGAGACGTGGGTATGTGTTATTGAGAAGTCGGATTAATTTTGGCGGCCACGTTCTTTTCCAGGTGGTAAGAGTCGGGCATCTTGGGGTGGCAAAGACCCCAGGGACGCCTCGGCAGATGGCGACCCGTGTCCCTTCGAGGCCTGCGTCGGGCCGTGGTTTCCCAACATGGCGCCAGCCGAGAGCTGCTTGGCACACAACCCCTCCCAACCGCGAGGGAGTTTCCTTTTGCCCTTAAAATGGCAGCTCGGGTTTTGTGCGGAAAGAGGCGCCCAGGCCTGAGGCTCTGCTGTTCTGGTTTTGTGGTTCATTGTAGACTTTTAAAATACGGATTTCTAGACGGGCGTGGTGGCGCACGCCGGTAACGCCAGCACTTGGGAAACTGAAGTAAATAGCGAGATTCTGACTGAAAACAAACAGCCCAAAGTTGGACTTTTCTTTTTTTTTCGTTGTGCTTGGTGTAAGAGACATTCCAGATTTATTTAAACTAACCCTGGCAAAGTACGTTGGGCCGCTTATGTCATTTTAGGATTTTTGAAAGATTTTCTCAAGTTTTGGAGTGTGTCAGTTAAAAAATAATTATTAAAGACAAAAATTGCAAACGGTTTACTCACTCTAGATTGTCTTGTTCTTAGGTGTTTAGAGAAAATGGCAGACGATATTGATATTGAAGCAATGCTTGAGGCTCCTTACAAGAAGGTGAGAAAAACATATCGGTGAGGTTTATATATTTCTTAATTTAGCATTATTCACGAAACTACTGCTGAAATGTAAACTAACCTCCCTGGAGCCCTCTTGATTTATCTTATCAGAGATGCATTACGTGTAACTTACAAAAGTAAATATATGCTATTGATGTAATAATATTGTGCAGTAGTTTCACTTCAGCGTGATGAATAAATGCCCATCTATCTCTCTTTGTAGACTTGCCTAACGATATCTCACCTCTACTCCCATGAATTCACCTTTGATTCCAGTGTGAACTGTCAATCATAAGGTAGTAATTGAGTGACTTATCGCTGTACCGTGGTCCCCTAGGTAAAATGACTCAACTAAGAATTACCAGCTCCAGTTTGGTATAGCAAAAAGGTGAATGGTAGTGGTTTGGGAAAATTGCAGGGGTCCAAGAATAATAAAGTATAACCAGTCTACGGCAAGTAAATCTTTCAATAAGTCTTTTAATAAGAAGTGGGTGAGATTTAAAAATTTACACAAATGAAAGACTGGTGATAGTAAATCTTAAAACAGGCAGGTGGCGATCTGCTTCTCAGTTAATAATTACTAAAATTCTTGGATCCCTGAACAGAAGAAAAAGCAAAAGAGGCAGTATCACAGCTTAGTCACTTGATGACTGTTTTACTGTTCTCCGTATTACTTTGTTTTTAATTAGGCCCTGCCATTGTATTTCACACTAAAAACTACAAAGGGATTATTTTGCCTAATACAGTATGACCCATTTCAGTATCACAGTAAAAGTAAATTCGTTTTTCATTCTTTCACCAGTTGCTGGTGAAAATATCATATGCATGCATTATCACTGGTGTCACAAACTGTAAGCTTTGTAAGTTAGCACTTATGCTCCTGTAGCTGATGTGATCAAACTTTAAACATTGCACTAAACCTCTTAAAAATAATACATTTGTTTTGGAGTATATAGCACGGCCATGTGGTACCTTTTGGATTCATTCTGATAGCTTTAATGTATGTAATTTGGTAATGCTTAGACCTTGAAGAGCTACTTTCTGTTTAAATGTTAAAATTCTTGTGTCTTAGTTTAACATGGATGAAATTCCATGTAAACAGGTATGGAAGTAGGAAATGTGTAGGCTGGACTGGTGGATTATTAATTGACTTTCTTGGGTTCTTGGAAGTCAACATTACTAAAGCAGTGTGAATCCCTGTTTGCTTCAGGGCGAGATGTGTGACAGAGGTGGCATCAAGCTCTTACAGTCCCAACCCTCCAACGGAAATGGGCGAAGATCTCAGGAATGGCATCCATCACAGGAAATCGATAGTGGCTGGCTGCTAGCATGGCCACTTGGGGCTTAGGCAGAAATAGAGCCATGGTACTGACGAAAGGGACCATAGCACATGGAATAAAAAAGTCAAAACAGGACTTCATTCATGTTTTATGGAAATTATATTTAACCACTTCAGCACTGTAAATCTGGATAACTTAATATATAAGCTATGTATGAAAGTAAGATTTAATGTATTAATGTGGACATTTTTATTTTTGTATCTTGATGACATAATTGTAAGCAACAAAGTGGTTAAACACATACCATCTAAATTTTTTTATAGCCTTCCATGATAAACTTTTAAGTAATTAGTTTTTAAATTGTTTTGTATTTTCTTATTCCTATTCCCTTTACCCTTTGACAACTTGAAATGAAATATTACCACTTCGTCCTCATGATGTTCTTCTATCAACCCTGCTTAGGATGAGAACAAGTTGAGCAGTGCTAACGGCCATGAAGAACGTAGCAAAAAGTAAGTTCTTTGTTTTTTGTTTTTTAAGTTTTTAAAAGGAACCTAGGGGATGGTTATTGTGAGCTTTATGTGTTTGAAATTTTAAGTTGTATTCCTGTGGCTTAAGCATCGTACTTAGATTTCCTTTTAAAACTTGTCTTTGTCTCTTAAAAAATTGGTTCTTTACCTTTTGGGACAAGAAACTGCTTGAGTATGTGAAACTATGGCCTCTCCCCTCTAGATTTTAGTAATTGTTTTCAGGGAGCTTTTGGACATCTTTCCCTCCAAGTCCATCTTGATAATCTGGTTCAAAGTTCTGTGTTAAGCCAGGTGCAGTGGCATGCACCTTAATCTCAGCTGCTCAAGTGTCTGAGACAGGAATATAATGAGTTAGTTGGCGATCAGCCTGGGTAACATAGCCAGACCCTGTTTTAACACAAGAGAAAATGAGTTCTTATGTTATTTGTCTTTGCTTTTAAATTTGTTAACTTTGCCTTAATATTTGGTGATGCTGTCAATAAAATTATTCCATTGAACTTGAAAGGGAAAAGAGTTACATTAGAGAAGACAGTACCCATGGAAAGTATTATTGACCATAAATTACTAAAAGAATCCTTGCTCTTTTTAATCCTGAAAAACTTTTCATAGGAATGAGACAGCATACTTAAATACTCAGTGTGTCTTTAATTATTACCATTTACGCATTTTGAGTTAGAAGAGTGACTCAATAGGATCTTTGTGCTACTAACTGGTATGGGATACAGTGCACACAGTCTGTGATAATTTATAAACTGGATCCACTGTATAAGACTGCAACCTATTGAAGTTCCTCTTTAGCTCTTTAAGATTAGTGATTCTTTTTGTTTTATTTACTTAATAAATTTTGTTTTATACCTTTCCCCTCATTAAACCCCTCTCCCCTTCCTATGTGTAAAAGCTTATTTTCACATTTTTTTCTTGTCCCTTCCTAACAGTAGTGATTCTTAAGTTCTGGTCACGTTACAAGTGTTAAGCTGTTTTACTACCCTATGTTAATGTTAAAATATCATATATTTATGATTCCATAATATATAATAAAAATGATAAAATAGCCACCTTTTTGGCTCTTCCTAAGAGCTTGTAGTGCTTCACAATAACTACCTCAGTCATTCTCAACAAATTTGTCAGGTAGGTTGACAACAATTTCATAGATGAGAAAATTGTTGGATTTGGGGGAGTCATTGTTTGCTTAGTCAATATTCTTTTTATGATTCCCTTAAAATTCCTAAAAATGATACAAGTTGTGGAAAAATTTTTTTTTCTTGTACAAGCTCTAATTAAAGAAAAGTGGGTATGAGGATCATGTTGAGTTTAGTCTTCAGTCGTTGTGGTCAGAGAGTTAATCAACAAATTACTGCAGGCTTATGTCTGATTTTAGTCTTATAATGAAGTAATAATTTTCTGGTGTGTTTCTATTTAGTCCTGTGATTGAATAACCCAGGATGCGGTTTCTATATAAATTGTCATAAATTAGCCAGTCTAGATGTCAAGACCAGTGGCTAAGTAATTTTGGTTTAAGTGCTAAAAGGGTGATGACATACACTTTTGAGGTGCAAAACTTTACCATTCACCAGTATCACCCTTGCTGCTAACATTTCCAGTTTTATTTGTATATAAACTCATTAAGGCCATCAACGTTGTATGAGATAATTGAACCTCAAGCCCTCCATAAATGATGTTCAGAGGCTTTTATAATGCAAAGGACTCCTATGGGACTAAATAAAAAGAATAGACAATTTAATTGGCCGTATAATCCTTTAAGAAAAGACCCTTTCTAAACACTTTCGTCTAGTAATCTTTTAAAATGTACAATATTTGTCAGTCTTTCTAGCTGATTAAGTGGTTCCCTTGTTTAGCCAGGAATTTTTCATTCACTTTTCTGAAGGAACTTACTCAAATTAGTTCAAACTTAGAAAAAAAAATTTGATATTTAGGGATAGATTAAGCAAGTAAAATGTTTTAATTTTTGCTTTGGTGTTTAGGGTAAATTAAGCATCTTAACTAAAGGAAGGTGCCATTTTGCAGTTTTCATCCTAAAATTTCAATGTTTTTAAAAGCCATTAAATGTTAAAATGATAGTTTATAAGACATTAAGAAAATGTACATTCTGGGCCAGGCATGGTTGTACATGCCTCTAATCCTAGCACTCAGAAGCTGAGGCAGGAGGATCGCTGCAAGTTGAGACCAGCCTGGGCTGCATAGTGAGTTCCAGGTCAGTCTCAACTACATAGTGAGACCCTGTCTCAAAAAACCAAAAAAAAAGAAAATGTACATTCTGAAAAAGTGTTAAATATATTTTAATAAGTAGTAATTTGGGGCTGGGGATTTAGCTCAGCGGTTCAGTGGCCTGCCTTGCAAGCACAAGGACCTGAGTTCAATCCCCGGTACCCAAAAAAAATAATAATAATTTGATTCTCAACACATACATTTCACTATATCCCACTAGTAAAAGGTACTAAATTTAATATAACACATACATATTATCAATTAGCATAAAGTAGCTCTTCATAAGTAGAAGAAGAGCTATAACCCTGAGTTTGTTTGGCAAGACCTCAAAATATGCTTTAAGTACCTTCAGTACTTGAAGTTGCCCTCAAGGGAGCATTTGTTACTGTAACCAGTTTTGCAAGGTCTAAACCACAATATATTTGGTTAAGCTCTTTAAAGAACTGCAAGGATAATGAAATGACACAGTTGAAATATATTGGCTACTGTGGTGTGGATTATCTATAGATTTTTGGATAAATGACTTTTCTATTTTTTTTTCTTATTTTCCAGAACACTTTGCATTTAAAATTAGATCTTCTTACATGGAAGAGGTCAAATCCAGTTATAGCAAAACACCTTTACAGCAGAGGCCATATAACCAAAAAGTCCAAAGGCCCAGCCCAGTGGACCATTTACTTCAATGATGTTCAGTACAAAATTCCACTGCCACTAAAGACTTTGGAAAGTCCCATTTAAGTTGTAACAGGATTTGACTATTAGTATGGGTTTTGATAAACATTCTGTAGTTCATTTAATATTTTTTGAAGCTGGGTTTTATTATAGAAATATGCTGGTTTCTTTTACCTTTAAATTTTTGTCTGGCTATTTAAGCAGAAGATTGTGTTTTCTGAATGTCATCCTATATTGTCTTTTTATTTGTTTGGGGTTGCCTTCAGATGTGGGTGGGAACTGTTAACAAAAGTCCTGGGAATATCTCAGTTAAAAGAAAGTCTGGTCTTTGAAGTCTGTTCTTTTGGCAGAATAAGTTTTGGGGCCCTTAAGCGATGAAGAATGTTGGCTGCCTCTCTGATACAGGCCATCTTTAAACAGAGCAGAAACTTTTTTTTTGTTTTGGTGGTAGATGGAATTACTTTTTACCTTTTTTCCTAATTTGATTTCATTATGTATAGGACATTTGGTTTTAGCCATAGAGCTAGTGTCAGGTTTTTGAGACAAAGATGAAATGTTATCTGTTGCCTATCTGGGCACTGGTTTGACTTCTATATAAATAATGAGTGTAGCCTAATTTTCTGTCATGTGCTACCTAGCATATACATTTCTGACAGTCAGGTGGATTATCTTGAAATTTTAGACAAAGTTTCTGCCTCCTTGGAAAGCTCTACATCTCCTTGTGATTGGAGTGTGGGTTTCAAGATTTCAGAAGGTGGGTGTCTCCATTTTTATATTTTTAATGCACTCTAAGATAACCTGCTTACAGGTTCTCTGAGGCAGACCTCAGTTGCTCTTATGCTAACTTTGCTTTGATAAAGACTAAAACCGTTAATTTCCAGATAATGATGTAGAGTTGTCAAAATGTTCAATCTTTAAACCACTACAAATTGACATTTAAGTGGAATAAATTTGTTTTGAAATGTATTTCAGTTTTCATTGAAATATCTGAAGGCACCTCTATTTTGGGTGGTGACAGGCACAGATTTTAAGATTTAATTGTGAAGTGAATGGGTTGAATACTGTAAAAAATAGAGAAATGAATGGGAAGATTGACCGGCTTTTTTTTACTTTTTAGAGTTTCAGGTTTCATAATGATGTACGAAGGTCAAGTTAATTTTTTTTTCATTGCACCCTACAGGCGTGTATAAACTGGTTTAAAAATGATGTACTTCATTTTCTGATGTGTTTATTATAACTTTAAATCAAAGGTGTTTCGATGACGTATGCTTATAATCCCAGCCGCCTGGGAAACTGAGGCAGATTATAAATTGGGGCCAGCCTGGGCAACTTAGACCTTTCTCAGTAAGGTTGAGAGCCACACATGGTGTCATGCCGTTTATCTTAGTACCTGGAGGCTGAGGTAGGGAGGCTGGTGAGTTTGAGCCAGCCTGAGCTACATAGGGAGTTCAAGACTGACCTGGACTGCATAGCAAGAAGCTGTCTAATAAGACAAGATAGGGGTGGGGGAGTTGGGGATGTAGCTCAGGGATACTTTGCCAAGCATGCCTAAATCTATGGGTGCAATGTCTAGTACCACTTTTAAAAAATTACATAAAAATCAAGGCAGGTGTGGTTTTGCACACCTGTAATCCCAGCACTTGGGAGGTTGATGTGGGAGGATCACCACAAGTTTTTGAGACCAGCCTGGGCTACTTAGTGAGTTCAGGGCCAGCATGAACTACAAAAGGAAGTACTGCCAAGTAAATGGATGGATGGATGGATGGATGGATGGCTAGTGTCAGAATGCATTAGTTCTTAAATTTTTTTTGTCACTACTGGTAATTATGCCCATGGAAACCAAAATGTTGATGTCTATATATTTCTTGGAAAGTATAAAATACTTGCCGGGGATTTAGCTCAGTGGTGCTCGCAAGAGCAAGGTCCCAAGTTTGATCCCCAGTACCAAAAAAAAAAAAAGGATAAAATACTTTTGCATTGGGCCAGGGATTTAGCTCACTGGTTCCACCACCTGCCTTGCAAGCACAAGGACCTGAGTTCGATCCCCTGTAGCAAAAAAAAAAAACCCAAAAAACTCTTTCGTAAATAGGAGCAACATTGACTTACCATAAATGAATGTGTTTAATGAAAATTTGGAGCCGGGTGTGGTGGCGCATACCTGTAATCTGTAATCCCAGCACTCGGGAGGCTGAGACAGGAGGATCACTGGGAGTTTGAGACCAGCCTGGGCTACATAGTGAGACCTTGTCTCAAAAAGAAAAAGAAAATTTGGACATAAATATTACATGTAAATTTATCATTGTAATTTTTATATTTAAATTTTATTCCATTCCCTCGCACACACTTCCCCCTCATTATTATAACTTGTGGATTACAATAGTATTTGTCGGCCTGTTATATTACAGTTCATCTATTTAAAAATTCAGGCTTTGAATTACTCCTGCCAACAAGTCTTTTTTTTTAAATTTTTTGAGACAGAGTCTCACTATGAGTTGAGACTGATCTGGAACTCACTATGTAGCCCAGACTGGTCTCAAACTCACAGTGTTTGAGACCTGCCTCAGTCTCCCAGGTGCTGGGATTACAGGCATGTGCCTCCATGCCCAGACTGGTCTCAAACTCACAGTGATCCTCCTGCTTCAGTCTCCCAAATGCTGGGATTACAGGCATGTGCCACCATGTCCGGCTAACAAGTCCTGTTTTTTTGTCAAAGCTCTCGTTGACTAAGGAGATCCTTGCAATTCCTGCTCTTAAACTGTGATATCTTGACAAAAATAATTCCTTTGGTGATCGTTTTCAGTTATGTAAGATAGTGGAGTATTGTTATACCTAGGAATTGTTTTTCCTGAAATGATTATATATCACTATATGAAAGTAAAAATAACAAAATAAACTTTAAAAAGGATTTAAAAACTTGACCATAAAAGGAAGTATATTTTCATGGATTTTTTTTAAATCAGCAAGATAATGGTTAATTTTTCCTTCTCAGGAGGAAGAAAAGCAAGAGCAGAAGTCGAAGTCATGAACGAAAGAGAAGCAAAAGTAAGGAAAGAAAGCGAAGTAGAGATAGAGAACGGAAAAAGAGCAAAAGCCGTGAACGGAAGCGAAGTAGAAGCAAAGAAAGGAGACGGAGTCGTTCAAGAAGTAGAGATCGCAGATTCCGAGGCCGCTACAGAAGTCCCTAGTATGTAATTATAATTATGGTCGTCAATAGAGGATTATTTTCTGGCCATTCAGATAGCAGTTTAGTTTGAGGGACTTGAATTATAAAATTATGTTTTAAGTGGTTAAAAATTAGCCAAAATCACTGTCCCCCCCCCCAATCACTTCTGAGGAACAGTAAACATTAGACATATTACCATTAAAAATTAGTGAAGTGAAAAAACTATGTGGGCAAATAAAACCTGTTTTACTAAGTAAGGAATACCAACTTTTTGTTAATTCAACTAAAATATTTTAATTGCATGTCAATCCAAATTAGCCTAAAGCATTGAAAATGCTTGAAAAAGAACTGAAAGATGTGTAGAATATTCTATTTTTTATTAAGTATATGTATAAATATTAAACTTGAGGTGGATACAATAAAAGTTATAGGTATGAAAAAAACCTTGTCTATCTAGCTGTTTTCAGCTGAAAAAACAATTTGTGTGCTTGCTAAAGATCTTCCTTTGGGCTCACCACGTGTTACCTGTAATTTGAGATTATTTAATACTAGAACATTCTAAAGTAAAAGTGCTTTAAAAGTTAAATTGCTATAGAAATTTGGATGTGGTTGAACAAGTTACAAACAAGTTTATTATGGCTATTCAACTATAGTAACAGCTTTGGAAAGGAAAGTATTTTTAATTTTTAGCAAAAATTAAAACAGTGATTTGAAATTTTAGTAAGCACACTATTATTGGGGTATGTGGTGCATGACTGTAATCCCAGTACTCTGCAAAGCTGAGTCAGGAGAATTTTAAGTTCCAGCCGAGCCTAGGAAACTTGGTTATTTGTGAGACCCTATCTTCAAAAAAGGATTGGGGAGCAAGGTGTGGTGGCACATACCTATAATCCCAGCACTCCTGAGGTTCAGGTAGGAGGATCCCATGAGTTCAAGGCCAGCTTGAACTACAAAGCAAGACCATATCTCAAAAGAAAAACCAAAAGGGGCGTGGTTGGGGGGCTCTGAATGTAGCTCATTGTGAAGGCCCTTGTTCAATCCCTATAATACCAAAAAACCCGAAACAGTGTTGTAAAATACATTAAAATCTGGGCCAGGGATTTAGCTCAGTAGTGCCATCACCTGCCTTGCAAGTGCTAAGTCCTGAGTTGGATCGTCAGTACCATGAAAAAAAAAAATTGCTCTAATATAAGAATTTGAATGGTTGAGGATGGATTTTAGAGATAGGCCTGAAATGAACCTTGTAGACATTGCGAGTTACTTAGCCCTCTAAGATTTTGTTTTCTCTTAAGGTGGTAACCTGCACATAAGCTAATAATGAGTAATGAGAAAATATAAACAAAGCACTTAGTACTTACTGATATTCATCAAATGTTGGGTGTTAGTTGAAGGGTATTGTTTAGTGAATCATTGAGTTTGATTCTGACTTTTTAAACTCTTCCTGTGTGTGGTGGTACATGCCTGTAATTGTACCTGGAGCAAAGAGGATTGCTGTGGTTCCATCCATCCTGTACTAAATAATGATTTCAGGGCCAACTGATTACAAAGCAACACCCTATCTCAAAAAGCTTAAAAAAAAAAATCATGTTTTCCTTGTAGCTTCCACTTATCTTAGCTGGTTACTTCATATATTATTTATACGAAAAGTAGCCTATAGTTCTGTTTTGATTGTGAATGCCATTTTTAAAAACTTTTTGTTCAATTCATCAAGCTATGCTATATGCTACATTGCTAAAGTGGTATAATGGCTGGACATAGTGGCACATGCCTGTAATCCTAGCACTTGGGAGGCTGAGGTAGGAGGATCACCACAAGATCGAGGCTAGCCTGGGCTATGTAGTGAGTTCAGGGCCTGCATGAAGTACATAGGGAGAACCTGCCTCAAAAAAAAAAAAAAAAGAAAAAGTTATTTTTAACGAGAATAAAGTAAAGGGAGGGACGAAATTAAAAACTTCAGATTATCAGTTCTGTTAAGGATGGATCCTCTGTCTCTAATCTTTGTCTGAATTTATGTAAAGATGATTTTGTTGTTGTGTGGATTTCAAGTGATTTTTAAATTTAGAAGATAAAAGAGGTATATAATTAAGGGAAGGAAAATAGCTTACACTTTTTACAAGAACTTTACCCAGTAAATATATATATTTTTATTACTATTAGCCTGAGTTAAAGGGGAACCCACTTCAGTATAAAATAACTATTTGGAACTGCTTCAGTGCAGTGGATAAGGGATAAGTTTCCATGAGAACTTAATTCAAATGTTGGTCAAATGCCCATTCCATTTTGCTAGCCTTTTGGAATAGGAAAGGAGGATAAGCACTAAGGATCATCTCCTGGTCTCTTTAAGCTTGGTCTTTAAATAGGCACAAAAACTACTGATGTTAGAAAAGTTGCCTTTATTGATATGTTTGAAAGTACAGTTTTAATCATGGAAAAATCCTGAATGTGTTTATTTTGAGAACTTAGTGAATTATGGAATATCTTGCCACAAAAAAAACAATAAAATCCCAACAAAAAACTGAAGTATGGTGCACTAAATGCTATCATGCTGTGTAAGAATTACAGTGGCCATGGCATGACCATATGAAAATTATTCTCCTTACGGGGCCATAGTGGCACGTTCCTATAAGCCCAGCACTTGAGAGGCCAAGGCAGGAGGATTGCTGTAAATTGAAGACCAGCCTAAACTACATAGTGAGACCTTGTCTGAACAAAATATTTTTCCATTGTTTTTAAAAAAAGTATATAAAAATTTATATTGTATGTGTACATTTGATATGTGCATATACTGAAAAGGCTGTGCAGAGATACACACACACCTAATTGCTTTAACAAGTTACGGTTGGTGTGATGGAATTTGACTGTTTTTTACTTTTTAAAAAATTCTCTGAAATTATGCATAAATACATAATTTTTTAAGATACAGAGTTTTGAAAATGGGTATTAATATTTTAGAAAATTAAGGGCCGGGGATTTAGCTCAGTGGTCCCATTGCCTGCCTCACAAGTGCAAGGTCCCGAGTTTCATCCCTGGTACCAAAAAAACCTAAAAAACAGAAAATTAAAAATTTTGAGGCTGTTACCTTTGGTCTTGGCACCTTTCAGTGGTCCAGGATGGATATAATAAGGGCAGCATTCCTGGGATAGAGTTAAGATTTTTTAAAAGTCTTTTTGTTTCCTCTTCATAAATGAGGTGGAAAACAAGCAGCCTAAACAATGTTAAACTTGCTGGAGAGCGCATGAACGCGATCTTAGCAAGACCCTAAACCTGTAACTAGTGTAATTTTGTGTTTCCTTTTTAGCTCCGGACCAAAATTTAACAGTGCCATCCGAGGAAAGATTGGGTTGCCTCATAGCATCAAATTAAGGTTTTTAAAACATACTTCTGAATTGTTTAAATTGTTTTTCAAGAAACTACTGTGATGTATTTGTTTGGATAACTTCTGAAACTTTTTAACTTTGCAGCAGACGACGTTCTCGAAGCAAAAGTCCATTCAGAAAAGACAAGAGCCCTGTGAGGTATCTGTTGGTCCTTTTTTTTTTTTTTTTTTTTTAAGCGTGTAGATGTAGTTTTGGCAAAAACTTTGCAATTTATGCAAAATGCTAAATTGAATGAAAGTAATTTGGAGCTGAGCATGGTGACAAATGCTTGCAATCTCAGTACTCAAGTAGCTGAGGCAGGAGAGTCACCAAAAATTCAAGGCCAGTCTGGATTATATAGTGAGACCTCGTCTCAATAAACAACAACGAAAAGATATTTGAATCATGTCAAATTGCAGTTTTTTTCGGGGTAGTACTGTTTGTTTCATTCATTAATTCAATTTGTGGTACAGGGGATCAAGCTCAGGACCTTGTGTTTACAAGGCAAGCACAGTGCCACTGAGCGAAATCTCTGGCCCAGTACTGTTTCCTTTAAACCAGTGTGAAGTCCTATGAATTTTCAGTGGCTTTAATTTTATATAACTAAAAATACTGGTTTTAATATGTAGATACTACATGAGCTCTTAATTCTCTATTAACTGACATTTTAAACAACCCCATTGAAAGGTTTAGACCGACTGATTTTCCTCTAAATTAATAAATAAGTTTGTTGAAATATCTGTGGGACAGTCGCTGTAACAATCAAGTTTATTGCTTGACTGTAGAAAAATATTTCAAAAGTGGTAGTTACTGAATTAGGTGTGGTGGTGCACGCCTGCAACCTTAGTACACTGGGAGACTGAAGCAGGAGGGATTGCAAGTTGAAGGCTAGTTTGAACACCCAGTGACTTAGTGTGTGAGCCCTGACTCAAAACAGTGAAAAATGGCTGGGAGCTTGGGGATGTAGCTCAGTGCTGCCTTGCCTGCCTGGCTGGCATAAAGTCCTGAATTTGATTCTCATTATGAGGTATGGGGCTGGAATGTAGCTCAGTGAGATGGCCCTGGGTTTAATCCTCAGTACCACTGTCCCCTATCCCCTCCCCCACGCAAAAGAAAGGTGAGGGGCTGATTATGTAGCTTGGTTCACTTACAGAGTGTTTGTGTAGGCATGTACTCACCACCTTGGCCTCAGTCCCCAGTACTGCGGGGGGAGGCCCAACTTTGTTTATACTTGATTCATTTGTAATAAACTATAATTCTGAGAATTAAGTAGTCTTCATATGTTGTGGTTTTATGTTTATGATTTAATACTTTTACATGGCTTTATCACTTTCTTAGGGAATCATTTACACAAATTTTGGGTGCATAGGATTTATGATTAGTAATGGTATATTTTTTATGAATGATAATAAACTATCAGGCTCTTAAATGGTTCTTTTTGTTGTTGTTATTGTTACTGGGAATTGAACTTGTGTTCTGGCGCTTGCAAAGCAGGTGGCAAAACCACTGAGCTAAATCCCTGGCCCTAGATGGTTCTGAAATATCACAGATATATTATCACTTTGAAGATTATAAGACCAGTGGATTTTTGTTTTAATACCGTGCAAGCTGTGTTTAGTAGAACATTTGATCAACAACTATCATTCTTTGGAAGGAATTGTGTACCACTGAATTGTTCCAAGGAAATACCATATAAATGAATTTTGATAAAAATGGGCTTGGAAAACTGACAAAGTAATTCTGATAGTTTGTCCTGGTCACTGAAAAAATATTTTTAAAAGTTAATTTAAGACAGTAACGTATAAGCCAAACATGGTGGTGTTTGCCTATAATCCCAGCTGTAAGAAAGGCTGATGTAAGCAGATTTCACATTGGAGTTCTGCATGGTATGAGAAGTGTTAGGCCTTCTAATTCAATGAAATCTTACCTCAAAAGTGCTAGGGATGTGTAGCTCAGTGAGTGACAAAGTGCCCCTGGGGTTAATCCCCAGTATTGCCAAAATTAAAAATTCTGTTTTTTATTCTTGTTAGGGAACCTATTGATAATCTGACTCCAGAGGAAAGAGATGCGAGGACAGTTTTCTGCATGCAGTTAGCAGCAAGAATTCGACCAAGAGATTTGGAAGAGTTTTTCTCTACAGTAGGAAAGGTAATGTACTATTTATGGGGATCATGTAGGTGGAAATTGTGGTGTTTTAAAAATTGTCATGGGGCCAGGGATTTAGCTTAGTGGTGCCACTGCCTGCCTCACAAGCGTGAGGGTCTGAGTTCAATTCCCATTATCCCCCACCCAAACAAAAAATTGTCATTATGTCAGATAAAAAGGAAAATGCATCTAAAGACCAAAATTTCTGTTAGATTTAGAAGGCTGGATGTATTGGCACATACCTATTATAGTCCCAGAACTCAGGAGGATTGAAGTTTGAGGCCAGCCTGGTCTAAATAGCAAGGTCCCATCTCAAAAATTGTTTTTGGTAGTACAATTTGTTTTTGGTGACATTTCTCTTTGGTTATCTTTTCAATATCAGAAATTTAGGAGTTTCTCAGTATAACCACCTTTTATCAAAAGATAAAAGTTGGGAGTGGAATGCATCACAGTAGAGTACATGTGTAGCATACGCAAGACCATGGGTTCAATCCTCAGGACCACAACAAAGAAATAAAAATGGCTAGAGGAGTGACCTGGGTGTAGTGATGTGTTCTAATCTCAGCTGCTGCAGTGGCAGAAAAGAGGGTTTTTGCAGGATACCTTGGGCAACTTAGTGAGAATTCTGTCTCAAAATAAATAAAAATGACCAAGGATGCAGCTCAATGGTAGAGTGCACCTGGGTTCAAACCCTAGCATGGCAAAATACAAAATGGAGTGAGTGGAAGCTGAGTGTATACCTCAGTGGTAGAGTTCATGCTTATTAACATGTGTGAGGCCCTTTAGGAGTCAGCATGGCTTTAACCCCCAGTACTAAAAAAAGATTATAATAAAACACAGAAATGATCCTAGAAACTTTGTTGTATCAGTGCTATATATCTTAACAATTTTTGCATTAATTTTGATATAGGTTGCAGTGTGGATTGTTGCACTAACAACTGTTAAATGTGTTTTTTTTTTTTAGGTTCGAGATGTAAGGATGATTTCTGATAGAAATTCAAGACGTTCCAAAGGAATTGCTTATGTGGAGTTTGTTGATGTTAGTTCAGTGCCTCTAGCAATAGGATTAACTGGCCAACGAGTTTTAGGAGTGCCAATCATAGTACAAGCGTCACAGGTAATTTTTCTCTTGGTTGAAAATTGAGTCATTGGGCCCGGGATTTAGCTTAGTGGTGTTGCCACCTGCTTCATAAGCACAAGGACCCATTTGATCCTTGGTACTTAAAAAAAAAAAAAAAAAAGAAAAAGAACAATTTGAGTCATTGCTATACCTGAAAGCCTCCTGTTTTTTGGTGTAGTGTGACGCTTATAATAAGTCAGATGTTCTTGGTGCTGTTCTTTTACTTTGATATACTGTGTTCTGAGTAACATTGTTCCATTCTAATATAAATTATAAGTATTTTATAAAATTGGATTTGCAAATAGATTTTTATTGATTTACTCTGATGTGTTAAGTATAGACATTGAGGAATATATTTTCATTTTGATCTTTTTTCCTTTTGTTTTTTTTTTTTTTTGGAGACAGGGTCTCACTCTGTAGTTGAGACTGACCTGGAACTCATTATGTAGCCCAGGCTGGTCTCGAACTTGCAGCATTCCTCCTTCCTCAGCCTCCCAAGTGCTGGGATTACAGGTGTGCGTCACCAAGCCCAGCATCTTTTGACTTTCATATGGAGTATCTGATATGAAAAACATCTTCACCTTTATATAATACACATTTGTATATTTTTTGCAGACTTAAGAGTAGGTTGAGGGTTGGTGATTTTCCTTGTTGGCCCTGTGCCTGTCTTGCAAGCACTAGGTTGTGAGTTAGATCTCCAGTATCAAGCGGGGGGTAACTTGAACTAATTATGATTTCTAGTATAGCTTAAAAATAAATAGATTGCAAGGGCTGGGGATTTAGCTCGGTGATGCCACCAACCTCACAAGTGCAAGGTCCTCAGATCGATCCCTGGTACTAGGAAAATAATGATTGCAGACGTGTGGTGCACTCCTGTAATGCTAGCACTTGAGAGGCTGAGGCAGGAGGATTGCTATGAGTTCGAAGACAGCCTAGGCTACAGAGTGATTCTAAGGTCACCCTGAAGTACATAGCAAGACCCTGTCTCAAAAAAAAAAAAAAGATTGCAATCTCATTTGGAGACTATTGTACATCTTGTACAAGATAATCCAAATGATTTGACTATTGTTTTTGGTAAAACGAAATTAGCATGCTGGTTTTTTTTTTGGAAACAGGGTCTCACTATGTAGTTGAGTCTGACCTGGAACTCACTATGTAGCCCAGGCTGGTCTCGAACTCCCAGCGATCCGATCCTCCTGCCTCAGCTTCCCGAGTGCTAGGATTACAGGCTGCGTGCCACCACGCCCGGCTCTTTTTTTTTGGTTGTTGTTGTATTGGGGATTGAATTTAGGACCTTGTGTTTGAGAGGAAGGTGGCCATACCACTGAGCCAAATCTCCTGCCCATATTTCAGTTCTTAATATGAAAGAATTGGAATGTATGCTCTCATTATAATAATATCCTTAGGTTTCTCTCATATTCCCTGTATATTGAACATACTATTGAGTTCTATCCCTAGTAACTCAGCTGCCCACCCGTCTCACTCCTGCCCGTGCCTTACAGGGAATCAAACTCAGGACCTGTGCTATCAGGCAGGTGCAGGCATTACTGAGCTACATCCCTAACCCCCATAACTGAGCCTCCCCCCCCCAACATGGAACACTTCCTGAGTTTGCATGTCATTCTTGCACAGGGGCCATGTTAATCTGAATAGTTCCAGTTTAGTGTAGCTGTTGCCAAAGTGAAGAATCAGCTTTTTTCAAAAGGCAAATATAGGGCTAGGGATTTAGATCATTGGTGCTGCACTGGCCTCACAGTTTCAAGGTCCTTAGTTCAATCCTGGGTAATGCAAAAACAGGGCAAATATAGTTAAATATTATGAGGAATAAAGTAGTCAAATTAATTGCTATTTTACAGTTTCTATTAAATTGCTTAGTAATTCCTCCTAAGTAATGTCACTTCACCAAACTAATATATGTGGTGTTTGTAATATTTGTGGACAAGACACAAATATTACTTGAAATTCCACTTTTCACTCTAACCAAGTTCTATGTGACCATAGACAAATTAGATTTTAGCTTTAATTTGTCATCTTTGAGAGGATCATAGATTCTGCTTTATATTTAAGAGTATTTATGTGTGTGGTTTTTTTTTGTTGTTTTTTTGAGAGAGGGTCTCATTATGCAGTCGAGACTGACCTGGAACTCACTTTGTAGCCTAAGCTGGTCTTGAACTCACAGCGATCCTGTTGCCTCAGCTTCCCGAGTGCTGGGATTACAGGCGTGCACCACCACAACCAGTTTATTTAAGAGTATCTAATACTGTATGTCATGCTTCTACATGAACTTCATAGGAAAAGACAGTGGAGGACAAACAATAGTTGTCTGGATTGCTGTGATTAAGAATTAAGAAGTAGTTTTAATTCACATAACTACTCAGAATATGCACCAGTTAACAGAAAAGGACCTTGAATTAGAAGTTAAACTGACAAAATTTCCTGTATCAAAAGCTCTAAAGGGCTGGGGATTTAGCTTAGTGGTTCGGTGGCCTGCCTTGTAAGCACAAGGACCCAAGCTCAATCCCCGTACCAAAAAAAAAAAAAAAAAAGCTCTAAAGCCGGAGATTGACCTGGAACTCACTATGTAGCCCATGTGGTCTTGAACTCACAGCAATCCTCCTGCCTCAGCCTCCTGAGTGCTGCGATTATAGACGTACACTACCACACCTGGCTCAGGCCATTTCTAATTTTTAATTTTAGTTGTCATTGAGCAAACATAAGTGTTTACCTGGTTTCTATTAGCCCTGTATGATGTACATTTTACTTTGTTTTACTTATAGGCCGAAAAAAACAGAGCTGCAGCAATGGCAAACAATTTACAAAAGGGAAGTGCTGGACCTATGAGGCTTTATGTGGGCTCATTACACTTCAACATAACTGAAGATATGCTTCGGGGGATATTTGAGCCTTTTGGAAGGGTAAATACCACTTTTTTTTTTTTGAGACAAAAATCTCTTTTCTGTCTGGTCTTGAATTCAGTGTGTACCCCAGGTTGGTCTCAAACTTGTAGTAATTTTCCCTGCCTTGGCCTCTCAGTTGCTGGGATTACAGGCATGCTTACCACACCTACTTAAGTCCAGCATCCGTAGGAGATCTTTAGTTGGTACTTCATTAAAGTATAACCAACTATATGATAATGTACATGTGAATATTTGGTTAATTTTCTGAGAGATTAGTATTGAGAGGAGTAGGCCAAGTGTGGTGGCTCCTTACTAATCCCAGCTTCTCTGGGTATTAAGGGAAAAGTATCAAAAGTTCAAGGCAGGTGTCGGGGATTTAGCTCAGCGTTTCGGTGACCTGCCTTGCAAGCGCAAGGACCCGAGTTCAGTCCCTGGTACCAAAAAAAAAAAAAAAAAAAGGTTCAGGGCAACATATCTTAGCGAACATAGACTAGCTTATTGTGAAGGCCTAGAGTTCCATCTCTTAATACTCCAAAAAAATAAAGAGCAGGAGGGAGGTGTTTGTAAAGTGTTTTTTTTTGGGGGGGGTACCAGGGATTGACATCAAGACCTTGGACTTGGGCGGCGGCGAAACCACTGAGCTTAGTCCCTGGGCCTTAAAGTTTTTGTGACAGTTTAGATTGATAGGACACCTGAAAGAATGTGAAAATAATCTGTTTTGTTCATAATGCCATAGTTATATGTAATAGATGTCAGAATTATTTGTTTAAAAGTCAACATGACGGCCAGGTATTTGGCTTAGTGGTTCTGCTGCCTGTCTCATAAGTGCAAGATCCCAAGTTTGATTCCCGGTATCAAAAAAAAAAAATCAACATGAAAGCCTGTTGTGGTGTGCATGCTTGTAATCCCAGCACTTGGGAGGCTGAGGCAGCTAAATCCCTCTAAGTTTAAGGCCAGCCTGTCCTACATAGTGAGTGTAGACAATGGCCTGACCTAAATAGCAAGACCCTATCTCAAAAATCAATTTTAAATAACAAAAATGATTAAAAGAATTGTGCTGTCAATTCAGTGAGATTGTACTCACCTGTTATTTGAGTGGTGAGGGAGGCTGATGCACATGGTTTGCATATTTGAATTGTACCTAGGCAAGTTAGTGAAACACTGGCTCAAAGAAGAAAGGAAGGGCTCGGGCTGGGGATTTAGCTCAGGATTCTGATGGCTGCCTCATAAGCACAAGGTCCTGAGTTTGATACACATTACCAAAAAAGAAGGGCTGGGGGAGTGTAGCAGAATAGTAGAGGACACTTGGGTTTGCTCTTCAGTTAATACTCCTTACTGAAAATAATGCTGTGCATTTAGAGCAAGAATTTTTATTTTACCAGATCATGTTGTATTTTAGAGGGGAATCATTTTTTTAGAGAGAAATTTAATGTATGCTTTGTTACCAGATTATTTAAAGCTAAGTCCATCTGAACCTTATTTTACAGTAGACACATTGAAATAAATGTGACTTATATTTTATTTTGTTTTTTGGTACCAGGGACTGAACTCTGGTCCTTGCGCTTGCAAGGCAGGCATGGTGGCACTTGAGCTAAATCCCCAGTCCAGTGACTTAACTTTTTTTTTTTTTTTCAATGGTCCCGGGAATGGAACTCGGGCCCTTGCAGTTGCATGGCAGGCAGAGGAACCACTGAGCCAAATCCCCAACCCTATCATTTTGTTTTGTTTTGAGACAGGGTCTCATGTAGTTGAGACTGACCTGGAACGCACGATGTAGCCCAGGCTGGTCTCCAACTCACAGTGATCCTCCTGCCTCAGCTTCCCAAGTGCTGGGATTACAGGCATGCATTAACATGCCCGATTTAATATTCTGAAAGGACATTTTGAAACTCATTGTGTGGCCATGAGTAAAAGAATGTGGGATCATGCTGTTTTTTACCCACTGTTAGTATGTAAATTACAATTGGCTGTGTTTCTTTGTAACTTTTTTTGGTGGGGAGGATTGAACTCCGGTCTTTGCGCTTGCAAGGCAGGCCACCAAACCACTGAGCTAAATCCCTGGCCCTTCTTTGTAACTTTTTTCATGGTTTCTGTTTATGGACAACTTTTGGGGATGAATGCAGTATAATTTACAAATCCTGCCACTTTTTTTTTCTGGGATTGAACTCGGGTCCTTGAGTTTACAAGGCAGGTAACAGCACCACTGAGCTAAATCCCCGGCCCTATAATTTACAAATTATATATTTAGCCCACTTAAAGTGAACAGTTCAACAAGGAGGGTGTGGTAGCATATACCTGTAATCCTATCATTTGAGAAGGCTAAGCAGGAGAATTGGCTGTGAGTTCCAGGCTAGCCTGGAAAACATAGTTCAAGGCCAGTGTGAACTACATAGGGAGACACTGTCTCAAAAAAAGAAAAAAAAAAGTGAACAGTTCTGTGAGTTTTGTTTTATTTATAGCTTTTTGGTTGATTTTGGTATTTTTGAGGCAGGGTCTTGCTATGTAGTTCAGTGTTGTTTGAACTCACTAGCTTAGGCTAGCTTTGAACTTGCAGTGATTCTCCTGCTTAAACCTCCTGAGTGTTGGGATTACAGGCATGTGCCATCACTCCCAGTTCCTGTTCATAGGATTGTATCAATCACTATAACCAGCATTGATAAACCAAATAGGTGTGTTTGATACAACTGAGAAGTGATGTTTGATAATTTTAGTGGAAAGGAAAGGAAACATTGATTTTGTTTGCAGATCCTAACTGTATTTTAAGAAGGGGCTCTCATTTTCAGTGTTTTTTGAGACAGGGTTTTCCTGTATAGTTCAGTCTCGTCTTTAACTCACAGCAATTCTTCTGGCTCAGAGTCCTCAGTGCTGGGCTTATGGGTGTTTTCCAAGAAGTCTTAATTGGTGCTCTGGATAGAAGCCAGGGCCTTGCACATGGTAAGCCCCAGTTCTGCCACTGGTTTTTCTGATGCCAGTTTGTTATTTCATGCTTTGGGAAGTAAACTTTTAGAAGTGTTTTTTGTTTTGGGGTCGTGTTCTGGGGATTGAACTTGGGTCCTTGTGCTTGTAAAGCACGTGGCAGAACCACCGAGCTAAATCCCTGGCTTGAAGTGTCTTTGGATGGATTGTAATTGTTTGTAAAGGGAGAAGGTTTTCTACATTTATGATACCATGTGTTGTAGAGTAAACTACTTTGCCATTTTCTTTTTGACTTAGGTAGTAATTGTTTCAATTTCAGATTGAAAGTATTCAGCTCATGATGGATAGTGAAACAGGTCGATCTAAGGGATATGGATTCATTACAGTAAGTAATTGCCATAAATAACATTGTGTAAAATTTGATTTAAGCAAAGTTATGTTTTTAATGACTGTAGGGAAGGATGCCTGGTTGATATTCAAGTGATTTTCCTGGCTGATAGTACCCGTTTTATTTCTTTCAATTTTGGTTTTGCCAAGCTTGTCTCAAGTGACAGGGTCTCACTATGTATGTAGTTGAGACTGGCCTTGAACTCACAGCAATTCTACCTCATCCTCACGAGTACTGGGGTTAGAGGTTTGTGGGACCATGCCCAGTTTACATATTTTATTAATAAGTAGTAATGTACTAAATTTGAAAGGTATTTAGCCATTTTCCTGTACTAGACCTAGCATTTATATGTGGTCAATTTTTTGTTGTCATTTTTGAGGTTCAGTCTTGTTAGATAGTTCAGGCCAGCCTTGATGCACTATGTAACCCAGGCTGGCCTCAGAGTGGCAGCGATCTTTCTGCCTCGTCCTCCCCTGTGCTGGGATTACAGAAATGCACTACCACGTTCAGCTGTATGGTCAATTTCTCTCTCTCTCTCTCTCTCTCTCTCTCTCATTCTCTCTCTCTTTTTTTTTGGTTATGATTACAGAAATGCACTACCACGTTCAGCTGTATGGTCAATTTCTCTCTCTCTCTCTCTCTCTCATTCTCTCTCTCTTTTTTTTTGGTTAGAGACAGGGTCTCACTATGTAGTTGAGACTGACCTGGAACTCACTATGTAGCCCAGGCTGGTCTTGAACTCTCAGCGATCTTCCTGCCTCAGCCTCTTGAGTGCTGGGGTTACAGGTGTGCGCCACCATACCCAGCTTGTATGGTCAATTTTATTCGTTAGCTTTTCACATAGTTTAAAGTTTCACTTCATTTTCTCACTGCCTTAATGTCACATTTCTTAACAATTAAAAGGAAAGATTCCAGCCATGGTGGCACAATTTTAAGCCCCACCTGTGCATCCTAGTAAGTAGGAAGTTGCTGTCTTAAAATTTTAAAAAATTTTAAAAATTGTAATTAAATAGAACGTCACAACTGTTGTGTAACACTCAGGTATCAAAAATAGGTAACCCTGTTGCTGTGGTGATAATCTATGTTAAGTTGGAGATTAGTAATCTTGGGCTTTTGCTATAAGTGTATTGATGGGAGGAGAAAAGATCTTTAAAAAAATGTAGCTGACCCCCAACATTTTGTTTTTATTAATAACATCAATATGTTTTTTTTTTAAATGTTTAGTTACGATAGTCATATTTGGTTAGTAGGTTAGTACTTATTAGAGTGCCGTTTTACCAAAAGCATTTTGAACTATACCTTGACGTAATGATTTTTGTAAAACAGAGTAGATTTTAGCTGGGAGTGGGTTTTGAATTAATTCCATATGGATAAACAACTAACCAACAGATAATGCATGAGTTTGTAGTCTGATTTTGTATTTTTTACTTGTACCTTGACATTTGTACCTTTCATCCACCCATTATGTGTTATTGAGTGTAACAGACTTAAGATGTAAATATTTTGTACTGGAGGGATGTGTGTATGTGTATAAAACATTTTAAACCCCTTTCCTTCCCATTAGTTTTCTGACTCAGAATGTGCCAAGAAGGCTTTGGAACAGCTAAATGGATTTGAACTAGCAGGAAGGCCAATGAAAGTTGGTCATGTTACTGAACGTACTGATGCTTCTAGTGCTAGTTCATTTTTGGATAGTGATGAACTGGAAAGGACTGGAATTGACTTGGGAACAACTGGTCGTCTCCAATTAATGGCTAGACTTGCAGAAGGTAAGTTTTCCCTATTGTACTACATTGTAGGTGTAGATAACCATGCAAAATAAGATATAAAATGTGGCTGGGTAATGTAGTACAGATCTGTAATCCTAGCTACTTAGGCTGAACCAGTAGGAACAGACTCTAGGCCCACTTGGGAAACTTGCAAAAAATGTCTCTAAAGTTACAGATAACACCAATTGGTGTGCATAGCTCAATGATAGAGCATTTTAGTTTCAATCCCTACTGGTGCAGAAAAACAAGTGGAGGGCTGGAGGTTTAGCTTAGTGATTCTGCCACATGCCTGCCAAGTGCAGGGTCCCAAGTATCCCCGGTACCGAAAAAATAGTTGAAAAATACTCTTGGGTGGAAGTGGGTATATTGCTGTGTAGGTCATGCTGCCTTGAACTCACTGTGTAGCCCAGGCTGGTCTTCAACTCAGAGTAATCCTCCTGCTGTTGCCGTGGCCACCTGGTGGTTGGGATTACACATGTGCTCATCAGGCTAAAGAATCCTTTTTTTTTTTGTACTGGAAATTGAACTTGAGACTTTCTGCTTGCCAGGTGGTTGCGGTACCACTGAGCTAAATCCTTGACTAAAAAAATAATATTCCTCATTTCAGGTCAATACTGTTTTTGGGCAGCACATAATTTCATAACTGAAGTTTCATGCATTAAAGTTGTATAATATGGGTATATAATGACACGTTTAAAATGTCATAAAATAAACATGTTTCAGGACTGCTGGCTAAGCCAGGCATGATAACACAAAGTTGCAATCACAGTACTCTTGAAATCTTAGGAAAATTGTAAATTTCAGTTGAGCCTGGCCAATTTAATGACTTAGCAAGACCATCTTCAAATAAAAAAAGGGATGGGGCACCAGAGATGTAGTTCAGTGGTGTGGCTACCTGCCTTGCAATGCAAAGTCCTGAAGTAGATCCCTGGTACCAAAGTGGGGGTTGGTGGAGATGTTGCTCAAGGTGAGAAGGGCAAGTTCTATCCCAGTACTGTTCCTCTTCCTTACCACTAGAAACAAAAAAGTTTCAGGAGTTTTGTTCTTTGTCCTTACATCATCATGTTTAGGGTTAAATTATCTGTAGGTAGTAGAAATCATTTTGTGCAATTTGTTTTAGTGATAACTGGTAGTGCCTACCTAGAAAACTTTCTCTGCTCTTAAAATCTATTCTTTTACAGGTACTGGTTTGCAGATTCCACCAGCTGCACAGCAAGCTTTACAAATGAGTGGCTCTTTGGCATTTGGTGCTGTGGCAGGTAGGAATTGAATCTTTTCTAATTTGAAGTCATTTTTTTTTCAATCTAATTCGAAAATTTCCCAAATTTTTGCATTTCAAAGGACTAACTGAGAATTCAATTCATCAAGTACTTTTAGCATATATGTTCATGAAAGGAAGTAATAGATTGAGCATAGATGTATCCACTCATCAGAATAAGCGGTCAGGATATTGTGAAACCTTGTACCCCAATTGAAATTTGTAAGTTTAAGTCTTACTACATTTTATGCTTCCTGAGGTCCATGTTTAATACTGTTTGAAAGAAAAACTTTCATTGTGATAACGTTATGTTTAGAAAATACTGATGTATCTATCCTTAAATCAAGCTTTGTTTAAAACAGTTGCTATAGCAAGTATAGCTAAAACTCTAAGAATAGTATGTATGAGTTCTATATGAAGATTAAAGTTTTTGAACAAAGAAGGGAGACAGTTTATTATTTTATTATTTTTTTTGTATGTGGTCCCAGGGATCGAACTCAGCACCTTGAGTTTGTGACGCAGGCAGTGGCACCAAAGAGCTAAATCGCTGGACCACGGAGACAGTTTATTATACTTAAATAAGAAGGGGATCAGTTCATGAAAGTTTCCCTATTTTGTAGTTGAATTATCCAAACTTTGCTTTTACAAATCTTGACCTAAATCTCACGGGTAGTATAGGATTTAATTTTAAAATTTCAAAGATATCACTTTTATGGGCCGGGCATTTAGCTCAGTGGTTCGGTGGCCTGCCTTGCCAGCGCAAGGACTCGAGTTCAATCCCCGGTACCAAAAAAAAAAAAGAGAGAGAGAGATATACCACTTTTATAACATGTAAGAATCATTTGTGTTTATGACCTGGGGTAACAGGAAAACCTTATCCCAAGAGAGTATGGTAAATTCTATTTAGTATTGGTCTTTTAATTTATTTACAAAGGGAGACAGCTGGGCGTGATGGCACACACCTGTAATCCTGACAGTTGGGAGGCTGAGGCAAGATTGCCCTGAGTTTGAGTCCTACAGTACAAAGCTAGACCATTTTAAAATAACACAATAAACCAAAGGGAGAGACTTGTTGAGAATTGTATATTAAGACTATTATAATCTAAAATATATATATTGGGGGGGATACTGGGGATTGAACTCAGGTCCTTGCATTTGTGAGACAGGAGGCGGAACCGCTGAGCTAAATCCCTGTCCCTAAATATATTTTTAAAATGTGATTATTTCATGATTTCTGTTTAGATGCAAAATTCATCTAATTGAAGTATAGAATTATCCTTTTATAAAGTGACAGGTAGTTTTCATTGTTTACCCTTCTTAACGGATATCTAAAGTATGGGTGTGCATTTAGAGGCTCTCTTTTGGTCTTTCCTTGTTCTTAATGAGTTATATAATTTACATTGAAAAATGAAATGTTTTTTTTTTTTTTTTTTTT